GCAATGTAGATAGATGTTCAAAACTGTTAAACCTCGGTTAATGTATACGAAGCGTTCTACAATTTCAGCTATTTTACTGAGTATCTTATGAGGTGCTTGCATGCGAACGATTGTTGAAGTGAGTTACAGATGCAGAATCAATTTAGTGCGAATCACTTCCGAATCATCGCACTCACTAAATCACTTTGACACCTGCTCATTCACGCGCTCGAATGATCAGCTAATCACCGCATGCACACACGAACCATGACTGACTGTTTGCTGTCTATCCGATCAAGCGAATGATCGGCACGTTCGATCACTCAATGTGTTGCTCACGCTGACGCACCAATGATTGATTGATTGTTTGACTGACTGACTGACTGATCGGTTGCTCATTCATTGCATCAGTCGATTACGTGGGTGGGTGAGTGAGTGAGAGTTGATGGATTATGCGGATTAGAGATCACGTGCAAGGATTGTGTCGATGTTGGCTGAGAAATCGTGTGACCGATTGCTGGTATAAATACTAGTTGATGTGACCGGTTTGCAGCTGACTCGATTCGAGTGTTCCACAACAGACAGCTCGCAGGAGTGACTAGAACTGAGCGACAGTGAGATGCAACCGAGTGTACTCGTGTGTTTATTCGCTGTTCTAAGCATCTACGGTGTCCACGGTGAGTGACATCAGTGAATGAATGAATGAATGAATGAATGAATGAATGAACGAATGAATGAAGGAACGAAGGTCTGATCGGTTTGCTGAGTGAATGAATGAACGCCTTGGATGCAGTGAGTGAGTGTATGGATTGAAGCGCTTGTGACTGAACCAGAGTGTGTGCGCGTGTGGAGCAGTTTGCGTGTATGTGTTTATTGATGTTGATAATTGTAGTTGTCGCTGTGGTGATTGTGAAGTGACTGTAGATTGAGTAGTGATTGGATGGTGGAAATGTTTATGGTAGTGGAACAGTTGATATCGGTATTCGATGCAGTATAGTTTTGGGTAGAATCAGCGGTAGTGGCAGTGTTTCCGTTTCCAGCAATACCAAGAGCTTCAAACGTGTCCGCGTTGACAATGCTTACGTGCGCCTTACTAAAATTGTTATCAATCACTCCACACAATTGATAGCGATGGTGGATGCAGTGTGATGGGTAACAGTCACATCGTTTGAAGCAATGGTAAATTTTGAAGTGTGTTGGTTGTTGATACGGTCAGTTGTTGATGTTGCGAATATTTCGACGGTGTTGTTCTTGATGCTGGAATTGACGATGATTCGAGCAATGGAATGTGTGATGTTGTTGACGTGATTGTGTGCAGCAGCTGCAGCAATGATGAGTTGCGTGGTTGTGATGGTGATAAATGTTGACGAGTGAATAATATTGACGTGTTTCGTGTGGTTTACATTTCAGCGGAGATCGAGCAGTGTTTCGAGGTGGGCCAGTATTGTGATGCGGACGGGAACAGGAAGTGTTGTCCACCACACCAGTGCAAGCTGATCAATGCACGAGAAGGCGTGTGTGTGCGAGGTCGGTGTTTGCAGTCGAAAGAACAATGTGTGCACAGTCGTGATTGCTGCAATGGACAGTGTTTGAATGGATACTGTAGATTCAAGTAACCAGTTGTCTGTCTGCCGATAGAGCGTGTGCCTCGCCTCTGCTTGACCAGAATGCCAATCATCCAGCTCTTCAGATTGTTTTTCACCCACTGCTGTTTCGATCACTGACATGTTTACATACACCATTACACACTCACCTCCTCAACAACACACCTACTCATTTAGACAATCACCTGTGCAGTGAACACTTCTTGTAATTTTAATAAATGTGTTTGGTCAAAACGAATGTGATTTCTGTTCATCTTTTCCAAGATCGACTTTCACGTTTGCGCTGGTTCTGTGTGTTGTGAGACTAGGACATGACAATGAATAATAAGAATTGAGAGGAGTTTTCATTTGTAGTAGGGATTTGCGCGTTTGATCAGATTATCATTCGGATGATATGTGTTATTCATTCATAGGCTGGTGTGATCACGTATGGTCACTACGTTTGTCAGCGATCATTTAGATTGAATGCAAGAACAATTTTTTGTTATCATGACTGCTCGTTATTATCGTATTCAATTAATTGGGATGCTATCGCCTCACTTTAGCAGTGCTGTTTCGATCACCAACATGTTTACACACACCACCACTCACCTCATCTTGATGTACGCTGGTATTGTACGTTGTTGCTCGAACTGTATTTTCCGATGTTGAGACATTACACTTGATGTTGATAAATGAGAATAATGTTTCGTAAAATCAAGAAATATAAGACTGACATTCATGACCACATCAGTTATGTTTGTATCAAACCGCTGCGCCCCCTGAAGTCTCGAGGTAGCGACGTTGTAATAGGTGCTACCCCAGAATTGATGTACAACCGGATAGAATCTGGTGATGACTTCATATAACTGACTCGCGTGTGAGCAGCTGCTCCAAATCCGATCTCTGAGGCATCACTGAACAAATGTAACTCTTGCGCCCGGTTTGTCAATTCTGTTCTTGATCCCTCGATCTACCTCCATCGACCTATCGTATAAGATTCATCCAATTTAACCACATGGACACGTATGGCTCGTTGGGATGCTGGTTTCATCCTATTCGGGATATACATAATTTCTGCAAGAGTAGTTTGGCAGTAAGGCTGACTGGAGAAATTAGACCAAAAGTATCGGACAGGAACGAAACAACCGATAGAATCCCTCTCCTTGTCAATGGCTCCTCCGGTGCAACAATGTAAGAATTACAAACATTTCGATGAGCGGCACTGTAACTCTTTGACATTTTTATCAAAGACTCTTTTTTTCATACATCAGGCAAGATGGCCCCACTTCTTCCGATTTAGTGATCCATTTCTTTAATTTAAAACCTCCTCTGCTTAACAAACGTCTTTGCTTGATCACAAGTGGAAAAGGATATCAGGCAGTCATCAACAAAGAATTGTTCTTGACAGCATATACGACATAACGTTCATAACCATCCGATAGTCTTTGTACTATCTTATTCATGGCTAAATACGCACAAAATGGAGATGATGTGGCACCAAATGGATAGGAAGCCAGTTAAAATTCAGAAGGTTCCTTCGACACATCTCTCAACTGCCACCACAGAAATCGCAAAGCTTCTCGATCAGACTCATGGTCATTCACTTTCATAACGTTTCCTCAACACCTGCAGATAACGCAACCGAATCCTTGCGAAAACGCAATCATAAACACACTAGATAAATCTTATCATTTAGGGAATCCCCGGCAAACTTGGCGGCACAATCAAAGATCGCTCTACATTTTCCTAGTTTTTTCGGGTTTACCATTGCATGATGAGGTAAATACCATCGAGGACAATAGTTCGGCTTCAATGGTATTACAGAGACCTTCTTCACATAGCCCTTAGTAAAATTACGTTCCATACTTTTGGTATACCTAACGTGTAGATTGTCATCCCTCAGCAACCTACGCTTCAAAATCCTTAATCTATAGTTTGCTATTTCATAATTCAATGCTTTCATGTTTACATTCTGTCTCCATGGTTACCAAACTAATTAAAGACCATTTCGATCGGTAGCTCAGTCACTGCATCAGCCGAGTACGTGTGTGGGTGAGTGAGTGAGTGGATGAGAGTTGATGGATTACACGGATCAGAGATCACGTGCAAGGAATGTGTCCTGGTTGACCGAGAAATCGTGTGACCGATTGCTGGTATAAATATTAGTTGATGTGACCGGTTTGCAGCTGACTCGATTCGAGTGTTCCACAACAGACAGCTCGCAGGAGTGACTAGAACTGAGCGACAGTGAGATGCAACCGAGTGTACTCGTGTGTTTATTCGCTGTTCTCAGCATCTATGTTGTCCACGGTGAGTGACATCAATGGATGAATGAATGAATGAATGAATGATGGAATGAAAGCAAGAATGAATGAACGAATGTTTGAGTGGTTGTCTGAGTAGATGAATGAACTCAGTGAATGCGGTGAATGAGTGTGTGGATTTGAGCTTTTGTGACTTTACCAGAGTGTGTGCGTGTGTGAAGCAGTTTGCGTGTGTGTGTTAATTGATGTTGATAATTGAAGTTGTCTCTGTGGTGATTGTGAAGTGACTGTAGATTGAGTAGTGATTGTAGTTTGATAATGTTGATGGTAGTGGAACAGTTGATAAATGTTGACGAGAGAATAATATTGACGTGTTTTGTGTTGTTGTTTGTGTGGTTTACATTTCAGCGGAGATCGAGCAGTGTTTCGAGGTGGGCCAGTATTGGCCTTCCTCTTCTCCTTTTGCCTTGAGGGTTCCATGTGAGAGCTTGTCTTGTGACGCAGTTAGGTGCTTTTCGTAGTGTGTGTCTTATCCACTTCCACCGCTTCTTCCTGATTTCCTCCTCCACTCGAATCTGGTTTGTTCTCTCCCAAAGTAAGTTGTTGCTGATCATGTCTGGCCAACGAATCCGAGGTATTTTGCGTAGACAACTGTCAGTAAACACTTGTATCTTCTGGATGATGGCTTTTGTAGTTCTCCAAGTTTCCGCTCCATACAGTACAACTGTCTTGACATTTGTATTGAAAATCCTGATTTTGGTTTTGATTGAAACTTGTTTGGAGTTCCAGATGTTGTTCACTTGTAGAAATGCAGCCCTTGCTTTGACAATCCGCGCCCTCACATCTGCATCGGATCCACCTTGGTTGTCGATGATGCTGCCCAGATATGTAAAGGTGGTAACGTCCTCCAAGACATCTCCATCAAGAGTGATTTGGTTGGTGCATGTTGTGTTGCATCGGAGAATTTTGCTTTTCCCTTTATGTATGTTGAGACCTACTGCTGCAGAGGCTGCTACTACACTGGTCGTCTTCTCTTGCATTTGTTGTTGAGTGTGCGATAGAAGAGCCAGGTCATCTGCGAAGTCCAGATCTTCCAGCTGCCTTGCCTCACACCGGTCTTCACCTCGAAAGAGTCGGTTTAGCTGTCCTCCGTGCACGATTTTGCAGTTGAATCCATCATAAGAATTCCGTATGATGTTAACTATTTTCTCAGGCACACCATAGTGTCGAAAAAGCCTCCACAGTGTTTTCCTATCCACGCTATCGAATGCCTTCTCGTAGTCGATGAAGTTGATGTAGAGTGGTGAGTTCCGTTCAATTGATTGTTCCATAATGATCCGTAATGTAGCAATTTGGTCAGTACACGATCGATCCTTACGAAATCCGACCTGTTGATCTCGAAGTTGGGCGTCTACGAAGTCCTTCATTCTGTTTAACAATACCCTGTTGAAGACTTTGCTTGGTATTGAGAGAAGAGTGATGCCTGTGTAGTTCTCACACTTGCTGAGGTTGCCTTTCTTTGGTATTTTGATGAGGTACCCTTCTCTCCAATCTGATGGTACTTGTTCCTCATCCCAAATCTTTTTAAAGAGTATGTGAAGTATTTTTGCAGTTGCTTCCAAATCTGCTTTGATTGCCTCTGCTGGAATGTTAACTGTTCCTGACGATATACCGCTCTTGATTTGTCTGATGGCCATACTGACCTCTTCAATTGTAGGTACGCCAACATCAATTGGGAGGTCCTTGGATGCTGCTTCGATGTTGCGTGGGTTCAGTGGAGCTGTTCAATTCAAGTTTTCCTGAAACTGCTCTACCCACCTGTTTCTCTGTTCTTCAGTGATGCTGATTACTTTGCCTTCCTTGGTCTTCACTGGTCGTTCTGGTGTACGATAGTTTCCGGCGAGCTTATTTGTTATTTCGTTTAATTGTCTCAAGTTTCCGACTCTTGCAGCCTTTTCTGCCGTCATTGCTAGATCTTCCACATATTTTCGTTTGTCAGCTCTGATGCTCTTCTTCACTTTCATGTTTGCTTCTGTGTGTTCAGCTTGTGCCTTAACTTTCTCTGCTCTTGTTTGGCTGACATTGATTGCTGCCTTCTCGTTCCCACTTTCTTCAATTTTTTCAACAGTACCAACAGACATCCAATCCTTGTGATGGTGTTTCCCAATATCGTGCGAACGGGTTTCTAAAAAACCCAAAACGTCAGTCGGTAGTACGCCTCTCATTGTCCATTCCTTACACCACTCAACCTAGACACCACAGGGGAAGCAAGACACCACTCCTATTCCTAAAAACACCAGTAAGCTAGTCAAGAATAGGAGAAAAAGACGTGTAGTGTGCCTATAACTGCGTGTTCAAATAGCTCGATTTATAAATCAGAAGATAAACTCCAAGTATCGTATACATTTATTCGAGGCACACCACATACAGACTGAGCAGATACACTAGCGAGCGAATATGCGAATGAGCGAAGAGGAGAAGCGAATAGGAGAAGGCTAGTGAGCCAACTCAAAGAGATAGAGTATGACTAAGAATATATAGTCAGATAAGAATAAGACAGACATATGACAAGCGAAATAGATATGCACACACATGAATACAAGCGACGAATGATTGACAAGGTCAAAAGCAAGCGATACAAATCATGTGAGTTCATGGGAATATTAAGAGATTAATATTAAAGCGAAAAGGATGAGTAAGTGCGTAAGCGTAAGCAATGCTCAGTCGTATAAGCTCATACAAAGCAGATAATAAAAAATACCAATGGTACATATGAGTTGTTGCTATGCGAATGGCTTGGTTAAATAAATTAATGGAAAAAGCTTAACCAAGTTAGATGTGAGAGAAGTGAAATATATGTGGAGGCACTACAATAGCCCCCTTCCAGCAAACAAGGTTACGAAAATGTCTTTGTTTGCGAGAAAAAAAATCAAAATCGTCGGAAAACATCAAAAGTTATGAAAATT